AAAATATGATAAACAATTAAAATAATCACAGATACCTTCAAATTGACTGTTTTTATTAAGTATACTGCACAGAAGCACAATTCACAATTTATGAGTTTTTAGAACGTTTAATAAGCCTTATCAGCAAAGAGTAACATGATTACCAGTTGCACCACATTACTTAATCTCTTGCATACAGTAGCAATTAACTAATCTTTCATTTTGACTTTTTTGATGTTGACTGACATGGCAGAAGTTCAAGCTTATAACGGTTTGCTTTCACAGCGTTGAAGTCTTCTGTGTTGTCGTATTGTGTAACACTACATATATAATGTATACTGGTAGATTATTAAAATGCAAATGCTAAGTTATGATCTCTGAGACGACCTGATATTTTACTGTTTTATATCAAGTTAACATTTAACGTTTTAGGTATGTTTGATATTTCCTCAGAACGCGTTTAGCGGACTGACAACTGGCAAGCTACCAACACTTTTTAAAAACAGGTATGTGAAAATTTTATACAGTAAATTTATATTTGAATATATCACACGGTCCCATGGCAAATTTTTAATCTTTTCAGCATGGCTGTGTTAACCCTGAAACTCAAAATATTAAACTTATGATTAAATTTAAACTATTTCATTATCCTTGTTAAGATGTCAAAAGCTAGAGAAATATAATGATTGTTTGCATGAGAGGCTCACGTATGCAACAAGGAAATGACACGTTCACATTATAACTGCAAATTTGTTCAGATCTATTAACCTTCACTTGCTAAACCTTGATTATTATAAATAGCTCTTGTCATTTCACTGTATTGCACGTACCAGTTGCTAAGAAAAGTTAGGAACATTCAGTGTTTTTTCGAACTTTGGACCACTCGTTATTTGTAACATGAGCATTGCTTGGCGGTTGCTTAATTAGTTTTTAGTATAAGGTTGGATAAGTTTTGAGATGGTTGTTATTGAAATATTGGACGAAACCTGTGAGCATCCTGGTTCTGATACAAATAATTTGGGATGTTGTTCAGCTAGTAAGTTTGTCATGTACTGCCCTGTGATCGCATTATTGAAACCAGATGGGCCCTTTTTGTGATAAGCACACAGCTCATACCAATGTAATAATGAGAAGTTGTAGCGGAATTCTGAAATTTTCGTTTTTTGCTTCGTAGATTTTAGTTGCCAGTAATTTTATACAATGCATTGATTCGTTTTACCAGCATGTGTTGAAGCATTATAGCAGACATGAATCTGACAGTACAGAGCACACCTAAAAAGGTAACTTTTCTCACAGACTTAACATTTATCGTTTTATAAGGACGTTTTCACAGATCGTGTACAGTTTTACGAAATAGCTTCTTTTGAAGAATCTTGCAAACTGACTGTTATATTATATCTGTCTGTAAGTATAAAGTACCTATATATTTAAAAATTTCACGAAAAAATGGGATCTTCGTCTCTATTTATTTGTGTACTACAAAAAGCACGATCTTCGAAACCAACTTCATTTTACAACACTTTGGAAACCATTCGGCTGCACATGAGGTCCCCAGATAGATCTGGGAAAGTTCATGAGAAGTATAAAGAATACTGTTCATATTAAAGATTTCAATATTACTGGACGGCATATCAATTATTATTATTCCGATATATTTAATGTTACAATTATCTGATGATTGTCCTGTCATAACTAAGTGTTGAGGTCACAACCCACAACATGTACGTATTGCCTACATTTCGTCTTCCAAGCGATCTAAGTTGGGCCATGTCAGTGATGCCAGGAAATTAAGGAAATCATCCTCAAGATTTTCTCAATTTCACACTCCTCAAGTCCTTAATTAATGTTATGCTTCAACTTGATTGGTGTTCTAAATATAAGTAAAAACTCAACATCATCCGTTATATCATTTCACACTTTATTTTTCTACACTAATAAAGCTTATCTAAGCCCTCCAAGTGACGTAGTCTACAATCATTGCCGATGTGCTGTCTAGAGGATTAACATTGTTTAATGTGGATCGGACGGTTTATATTTTTCTGTTGAACTGTGTCGGAGTAATGAAGAGAAATTTAGAGAGGTCTCGCTTTATTCAGTGCTTTGTTTCCAACACAAACAAATTTGGAAACATGACTTCTAGATAATTATACGATGAAATGTTGAACAAATAATTTTCTCGAATCGTCAATTTTTCATGTTTATTCGGTTTGTTCAATCTGATCCTGGTCATGTCTTATGACTACTCAAACTACACTCTGTTCGGGATAAAAGATGCTGGAGAGAGGATCGCTTTAGGAGGCTGGCAAATATTTGTGATTCTTTGTTCACTTCTCGGGGATAGCACTATTCTTGTTGCCTCCATTAAGTACAAGGCATTCAAACTCCATAAGATAGTAGTGGTATTTATCCAACATATCGCAGTCTGTGATTTACTAATTGCTTTTTTTAACGCCCTTCCAAACGCTATCTCAGCCTTTCATAACACTGGCTTTCCCTCATTGAAATATGCAAGGTTTTTCGTTGCACGTCACCTCTTTCCCGTGAGCTTATTCCTTGTCTGTGGGATGACATTGGGAAAACTCCTTCTGCTCAAGTATCCTCTCAGAACAGGATCTTGGTCCAGCAGGCAAGCTCATAAGTTATGTGCAGGGATATGGATCATCTTAATTTTCCCTCCGACTCTACAACTTGCCATTGACAAAGACGAAATAATCTTTGATTTCCGAGTGTACACTGCAATGAGCCAGGTTTCATCTGACGTTGGGAAGATACTTTCACCGATTATGGCATTACTTTTATTTGCTACTCCAAATACTGTCACAATCGTCTGTACAATCCTGCTGCTAAAAGAGGCAAGAAAGGTGGCAAGAGGATCCAGAGAGTCTCTCCGATGGCAGGGAATTATGACTGTAGTTCTAACTGCGACTGTTTACAGTATCTCTTTCCTGCCATTCGCTATCTACTTCATGGCTATGCCATTTGTAGGAAAAGACGCATTACATCCAGGACCATTCTACATGGAATTCTATAGAGTGGCCTGTGCTTTTATGTACTGCAATGTCTTAGCGAATTTCTTCATTTATAGCTTCTCCGTGACGAGCTTTAGAAGTTTCTTAAAGACAAGATTTCGATTTATCATGCAGTTTATTTCTGACGAAAGTTCTTCTCGAGGTAACGATTAATATTTTCCATTTCTTCAGAATTTTGGTTACGTAGTAGAACTAAAATCTAACGAAATTAATAGAAACTATGATCATGGTAAATTAGTATCAAGGATTGAGCGGACCTTAAACTTACTGAAAACGTCAGGAATAACTTCCGTTTCCGAAGGTAGAACAAAAGTAGAGGTTGCTGAAGGAGAGACGGGAGAAGGAAGGAAGACAGAAGAGAAGATAACCAAAGAGGTAGTCAATCGTCATAAGTAGCATAATAAAGAATCGGAGTATAATATGATAAGAAAGAGTTGAAGGATGGCCAGAATTAGAAGAAGGAGAACAGAACATAAGGGATGAGACTACGAAAATAAAGACGTTAGAAGAATCGACAACAGCAAACAGCGAAATTAAATCACACAGAGATAGAAACCAATGAAGATAGAATACTAGTCTATTATCCCATTTATAATATCATTTGTCCATAAAATGGTGACTTTGAAAAGGACAAGGAATGAAAAATAGTTTTATTCATAAAATTTTCCGGACAACCTTTTTTATTCTTTTACTTATGACTTTTTCTTGATAACGTTTTAACAATGTAAGGCAACAAATATTCTAACGTTTTTAAAACAAGTGCTTTAATTGGTCTTGATTATCCTTGTTCTCACTTTTTGAAGACTTTTATCTTAAAACATATGAAAGTTGTCTTAAATTTGTTTCAGCTTTAAAGCACTCCTTCTAACCCATTCATAAACCATCATAATTTGTACTCGTATCGGGCACTAAAAATCAGAACAATGCTCTGAGACAGATCGTTCAGATGAACAATGTTCAAAATAACAAGTAACAGACAGGGGTATAATATGTAGTAGGGTATACTGTCCGAATATTGTTAGTCTCTACCCATTTGTTAGTGTGTCCTGCGTATTCGAGCTTTTCATTTAGAATTTAAACAAGTCCTTCATATTATTAAACACTAGAAACCCGCTAGTCGAAAGCTTTGTTCGAGGAAATTTTAAAAATCAGTTATGTTTTAATTCCCTTCATCATATAGCTCTGTTATACTGTAGACATAATGGAATTTATCTAACAATGGCGACAGCGTTGTTAGTATTCGGATTCCCAAAACGATACTTTTTACCGCATCAAAAAATACCAATCACAACCAAAGTTATGAATATAAGTCATAGCGTGAGCGTAAATGTGAGCTAGTTTTGAAGTTATGACGTAGCATACAGCATAACAACGCGCGTAGTTAAGATGTTCTTGCTCGCGCACGTGCATTTTAACGTTGCTACGCAACAGCGCAGTAAACCTTTGCTAAAATAACGACATTATTCTAACGGTTATTTTACCTCACTTCCGACGTTAATTATGAAAAATCTAAAGCCTAAATCAAAATTCTAAGAATGCTATAGCCTATTCCTATCCTTTTTCTACAACCCTGCTAAAAATGGCGAGGTTTCAACTCCATTTGCGAGCTGGGTTTGATTTCACCAGAGGGTCATTTTGAGGTCGATTTTCGGTGTTTTTTCTTCTATGTCCCCGTTGCCGGGGAAATTTCGTCAAGTTTAAATTATAGTATAGATATATTATTATGTTTATGTTTATATATATACATAAAGTTTAAATATAAACATAACACAGTGCATACCTTATCTGTTTAGTTTTAGTGGGAGTGTGTAAACATGTACAGCTATATCAGACCTATAAAACTCTTCCTTTGTTTCTCTGAAATTCCTCATTGAACAGCTGTTTGGATAAAAATAGTGCAACAATATAAATCATAAGAACAGTTCCTCATTACATATTACATTGTTTACGTTTTTTAGTGTGTTAGTGTTGCTTGGTGTAGTGTTGTTAGAGATGGATAAAGCTGTTATCAGTGATCCTGAGATATTATCCTCTTACAATGGTTACACTTACAGACCCAGCAGAAGTGTCCCTTGTAAGTCTACACAAATCATTTAGTTCTGTTAAAAGATCATTATTCACTGTGCTACTCATTGAGGGTGGCTTTTTTTACAGACCAAAGTATTACAATATCAAGCTATCATTAAAAAGGATTAAATCATTATGGACTCAAAGGACTTGACACTTTAACTGATATCCTCTCATATTTCATAAACATAGAGATAACACAGATAAACGTAGAGTTCACTTTCTGTTGCATTTTAGTTTTATTTCCTACCTGCAGTAACTTCTTACAGTTAAAAGAAAGTACACTGACTTCCTATTAGTTTAATTAATGAGTTCTGTCTCCAATGGTCTTCTGAAGAACTCAAATTCTTGGCTTTTACTTTTTATTTCCTCACATATCATTATGAACAAGCTAATATAACGCAGAGATACTCCGTGCAATGATTAAAACATATTGTTACGGTTTGAGATATGAAATGTTAGCTTCTCGCAGGCCTATTGTCTTTGCCTAATGATTTGGACGATGAGTTTTCAATCAAATGTATTATAAGGTAAAGTCTCGCTGAGAAAACTGAAAAGCGTTCTCTCCCTTGTGCGCATTGTTACCACCATCAATTAGAACGTTTCTCTAACTTTAGCTTATCATTAATATCATATGATTTATTCTTCAAGGGTATGACGTGTTTTTTCTCTATATATTATAATAAAGCTTCTCCCTTGGCGCAGTTTAGTAAAGTGCAACTTCACATAAATACTCAAATCACTCTGCAAAGTACTATCTGTGTCTACATAACGCATTATGTAGCTCTTAATTCTCTCTTGACACTGTGTCTATTATGTAACGTTAATCAGTCATAGCAGTAACTTCCAATAGCTGCTGTCAAAGATATTAAGTTATCTAACATATTAGTACTTACTACAGTTATCTAACATATTAGAACTTACTACAGTGCCTGTTATCAGTTATCATACTTTAGAAATACAGACCATTTGTTCAGTGTTTATCACCATTAGTAGACACAAGACATAAACAACACACTGTAAACTCTGGCACAGGACCTGGTGTAGAAATCGGAGAGAAAAACATCCTGTGTGGCTCACTGTGACTAACTTTGGCTCCGAGTGTGGAACTAGTCACTCGAGCATTACACGGCTATCTTTATGCGGAAATTATTATGCGGCTATTATTATACGGCTATTTTTATACGGCTATCTTCATACGGCTATATAAAATAGCTATTATTATTCAGCCTGCTCGGTGATCTGTAGGGACCTATTATAGTGTTCTCATAATAATTTCTAACCTTCATAAACCGTTACAAAGATGAAAGTTAACTATATTTAGCTTCCCATTACATATAATTCTCATAATATCCAAGCTATAGTCTATACCCCCAGCGTGACCATATTTGGTTAATTTCAGGACAGAGTTTAATACCACTGTATTTGTAGCAGAGAGACTGCAACAGTGACACATATAATACAAATCTATTAGCTGTAATACTTTCAGGTCTGTTATCTATAATGAACAAGCAGATAAGACGGGAGCAAGATAACTTAACTAACTCTCATTGGAAAGGGTAAGAATATATTTTTAACTAAGAATTAAATTTAAATAAATCGATTATCAAGTTTAGCATAGTTATTGATTTGGTTTATGTTGATTTGTTTGCTCCTGACAGATCACATTTGCGTAGGTTCACTGAAAACGATTATCAATGATTCGATTTTGCTGTAGGCGCTAAATTTTAAAGCAGTAATGCCTGACCATCTTTGTTGTTTGTGATAAAAGTAGTAGTAGGTATCAGGTGCTCTTAGTAAGTATAATATCTGTAACCCCACATTTAGCACACTGTAACAAACTGGTAGTTACTGGTGTGTAGTTAGTAACCTTGTCACCAGGTGACATTACAAAATAACCAGGCTGCTCTACAATAACACCTTGATAATATCGCTGGTTTTTAGAGGTTAGGTGTCCTAATATTATGAGGACTATAAGTGGCCAAATCACCACAATCCTGTGTACAAGTTTGAAGTTTGAAATATACCCCGCATCTGAAGCTAGCGATTATTTTTTATTCTTCTTATAAATAAAAATGCAATAGTCATAATGTTGATATGTATATTATATACATACTTTAATCATTAAGACTATTATCATATATAATACTAGAAACCCGCTAGTCGAAAGCTTTGTTCGAGGAAATTTTAAAAATCAGTTATGTTTTAATTTCTCTTCATCATATAGCTCTGTTATACTGTAGACATAATGGAATTTATCTAACAATGGCGACAGCGTTGTTAGTATTCGGATTCCCAAAACGATACTTTTTACCGCATCAAAAAATACCAATCACAACCAAAGTTATGAATATAAGTCATAGCGTGAGCGTAAATGTGAGCTAGTTTTGAAATTATGACGTAGCATACAGCATAACAACGCGCGTAGTTAAGATGTTTTTGCTCGCGCACGTGCATTTTAACGTTGCTACGCAACAGCGCAGTAAACCTTTGCTAAAATAACGACATTATTCTAACGGTTATCTTACCTCACTTCCGACGTTAATTATAAAAAATCTAAAGCCTAAATCAAAATTCTAAGAATGCTATAGCCTATTCCTATCCTTTTCTACAACCCTGCTAAAAATGGCGAGGTTTCAACTCCATTTGCGAGCTGGGTTTGATTTCACCAGAGGGTCATTTTGAGGTCGATTTTCGGTGTTTTTTCTTCTATGTCCCCGTTGCCGGGGAAATTTCGTCAAGTTTAAATTATAGTATAGATATATATAATAATAATCTTAATGATTAAAGTCATGACAGCATCAAACGAGAAATGTAGAAGATTAAAGCGTAAACAGGATCTACAAACCTAGATTTAGAGGCCAGCTGTTTACAGCAGTGACAGTTTCTAACCTGTCTGCTAATGATAATAAGAATCTTATATTCAGTCATGTGGTGGTTTAACGATTTAGCCACAAAATGTTAGTGAAATTTAAATCATAGTTACTAAGAAATGCAGATTTCCAAATTGTTACCTTTTTTGGCCTGCTCTGTTAATGTGAGGACGACATAGAACTTTATAATATTATATCAAACCTTTTACCTTTACCACTTAATTAAACATAACCTATCTGGTTAGACAGTTCGCTAATAATAGTTATATCTGGAGGACCTACATGCCTTATCAGTTATCTTAATAAAATGATAGTGCCACATTCTCGTGGTGGCATCAATACTTTTCTTAATGCCTTTATGTGGTAATGATTTAATACGTGATAGGAAGACAGAATGCATGCCAGCTGTAATGGAATGTCAAGCCTCTTGTGGCAGCTTCCTCTGCTCATCATACTCTGTTCTGTCTTCCTGTGTTTTGTTGCTTCTGAGATAGTGTTCTCCTGAAAGGGACTCTAACATGACCACATTTGAAAGTTTGAGTGTAGGAATACACCAGAAGAGAGGTGTTGTGTGTGAGTAACTCAAAGTGTGACCTTATTGCAGTACTTCCGGAGTACACCTGTGGGAGTGTCACTTAAACTAGTAAACACTAAACTAGGGGGCAAATCACACTTTATTTGAAACTTTGCAACGCTAGAACAGGTTTAACAGGTTTTTAAGGCTCCTTTGTTCTGTAATTATTAGTGCTCCTGCGTGTAGGATCGTCTATATACTAAGTTTCTCAGTATTTGTACGTTTCCGTATATGATATTCCTTAACTACCTTATCGGACTTTATTTGAACGGTCATTAAATGGACGCTGGAGGCTCTAGCGTTCATTTTAATGTCCGTTCAAAATTATGTCCGTTCACAAAATGTCCGGACACAAAATGTCCGGTAAAATAACGTCCGATAAGATAACCTACCATCCTCAACCACCCGAGAGTTTACCCCTGAACTCTCAGTATAATCACAAGCTAAGTATCCAGTATCTAGTTATACAACTATGTGATCATTCGTCTCTGTCTCTGTCTGATAAAACCTTACACATCACTGTTAATAATAACCCCTCGTGATATAACTCAGGTATATTACCCACACACACTGATAGTGACTGTGATGAGGAAAACAAAGCTAGCCCCCAGCAGCCCCGCCCTGCCCCACACTGTATAACCTTCTAAATTCCTTAATATCTTACATAGTCAGATCTCTTGTTTGTGATGTGAAATGTGCGTGTGAAGCCTCTCTTTCTCCTCTTCCTCCTCGCTCCAATTACCTGTTTAACTCTAGTATAGGTATTGTTACTGGGTAGAACTCTCAGACTCATGGTAAATTAGTAGAATTAGAGTGCCAGATTGATATTTTAGTCGAATTATACTGCAGTAAGTTTGGCAGATTGCTTGTCTGAGGAGTAGGATGTGACTTAGGGACGTATGTAAAGAATGCAAGATAAGGAATGTGAACGTTGTACCAGCAGTGTTCAGTCCTTAGTATCACATTATACACATCACCAGCTGGAATTATTCACAAAGTCATGCGTTAAAATCTAAATATTATGCGATATAACTTTAAGTAAAGAGATCACTATCCATTTATAATAAATATTCTGCCTAATTCTGGTAATGTTTCTATTTCCCAAGACTGGCAGACATATGTCCTATATATATATAATATATAAAATCCGAATAATGAGGAAAATGCTAGAGGAAAATGCTTGGGTTATAACTTGTAATATAAGGTATAATTATTACTGCTCTGTATTCATTGCGTCTGGTCTGGTTTTAGTTTGCGTCTAACTACCCAATCAGCTGTTACCACTTAATGATTTTAAATATTCCACAATAATGTTCACCGTTAACGTCAGCATTCAATAAACAGTAAACAATTTTTAGATTTAGTGAAATATTTGAGTGAGTGACTGCAGGCCGGCACGATATAGAAAGCACGCATCATGCAAGCACGCTACTTGGCTTTGTTATCATTACGAGGTCGGCACATTCTGCACATTCTGCACATTCTGCACATTCTACACATTCTCACGCTCCAGACAGTAGTGAAATTAACATGGAAGTCACATTCCATATTTTGTTATTGTTGTGAAGGAGAGTGTAAATTGTTTTATTTGTTCACTTAAACAACATGTGATAGATAGTATGAATAATTGCAGTGGTCGTGTACTTTGAGGCGCCGCTGATAGTTGCACTTTACTACAGCTGCCAAATACTTGACCGACAAGTTTTGAATTGAAGAATTACCCTCCAATTCGATGCCTATCTTTTGAAAGTTTGAAGTTAGTTAAATTGATGTTTCGAATGGGAGCTTTAATGCACTCTTAACACTACTTCCGGTGTGTGATTATGTTACGGTGCATGACATTTGAGTTTCCTCTAACAAGAATCCAGTCCCCGCCCCCACAAGTATGTGAACAGGCCATCGAGTAATTACATATTATAATTAGGTTGCTGGTCTGATTAGGTAGCACCCTTTCTGAGTAGCATCCTTTCTGGGTAGCACCTTTTTTAGGCAGCCCCCGCAATGTTTTAACGTGCATTAAGGTTGTTTGAGATGTTGCAGTCCCTCGCTTCTCCTATTATTTATTGCTTGTTAGTTCTTATACATCTTTTCATAAGGGTCTCTTGGTGCAGCTGTTTGATTTAAGTGGTTTGATAATTTGTTTATTGTAGCTGCAGTTTCTCTCACATTCACTTTAAGTTCGATTTTTGACGCCCTGTTAGTTTCAGTCAGAGAGCGTTCTAGCCGTAATTTCTGTGCAGCATTGATATGCTTGGCGTTTAATAAAGTGCCTGTTTGGTGACTCAAAGGCTCAAGGTGTTTTTAAAATGGTTGTGGACGGAATTAAACTTCGGTGGCAGAACGGTTATAATATTCTTGTAGAGCTCTCAGTCAACCTGCGATCTTATATTCGCCGCTGTATTTAGTCTCCGGAAATTGTATCTATCACAACAAGTGTATCTGTCATATAACTAGACGTTAAGAGTATAAATAAAGAACGGTATATTTGTAACAGCTGATCCCTGATACAATAGACTGTTTAGTGTATATATAGACAGGATATTAAAGACAGTTGTATAGATGTGTGCATAATGACATTTTAACAAAGAATATGCGGAAATGTTTGTTACAAAAACAAATGCAGATGTGAGGCAGGGCTGACTGCTGAGTAGTACTAAAACCACAGAACGGTGTGTTTTCAATTACTGACCTTAACATCTGAACTGTACCATCCTTTACCAATCCTGGAATGTACATTGTACTATGTTGGCAATTGAACGGTTGGATCATTATCATGGTGGCTGGTGCAGAAATTGCAGAAATTCAGCAGCAATTTATTAATTATCTAGATTGAGGTATTGCATCACTTTTGAATGCACAATCATTATACCCTGTGTCGTCATAAGTGTAAGAAGTGACTCAATGGTGGATAATAATAAGAAGTATAACCCCATATCATCGCACCTATACTGTAAAGCACACCAGTTACCATGACAACATTATTTATTAGGTACCCAGTACCCACAACACTGAAATCTCATCCGTTCAAATAAATGGCGGATTATTCACCTTAGTAGATATTATATATCCTAATTTTATACCATTTCATGTTTACATTTTATCATCATCGTCAGTCAGCGAACTTCATCATGAAGGTTCGTGAGCTCTTCAGTACTTTGGATGAGGAAGATATTTTGTAGAAAAGTGGTCCCCCTGGTCTCCCTTTGAAATATCTCCTATGGGAGATATCTATCAGATATTATATCGTCATGACAGAGCAGTGTCGTCATTACAGCCGACACAATTTCATGTGCACACAGATTTGGCTAAGTGACAGACCTGCATACAAAACAGTCAAGCAGTCTAACTGACGTTAGCACTGAACTCCAATCCTAGAAAATTGTCTCGGATAATAGAAAAATCGGTGCTGTCAGACAAGCAAACATGGGACATACCGACAATTATACAGACAGTCGACTATACAAACAGACAACATACCACACAGACTTACAAACAAACAGACAACATACCAGACGTGTTTTAAATTCTTTTGTAACCTGTCTGTTCCCAGGATGACCAGTAGTATCCAGCCGATCTCCAATCATCGCTTCTCAGACTCAGCGTACGTCGTCTACAACAACCAGACCGCCGCAGTTCCGCGCCACTCGCAGGCCCACTCAGAGTCACGTGCACGGAATGAGCCGCGCGGTGAGCCGCGTAGGGACAGCAAGGATAGAGATAACAAGGAAAGGGGGAAACACAAGGATCTGTACGCAGTACCTCAGCGGTCTTACTCCGATACTGCACCACCAAGAGAAAAGTAAGTTATTATTAGTCGAGGAAGTACAATTTGTAAATCAGATAATCATTAAGTCAGATGATTTATCAGAAGTTCTGTATTTGTGCTTGGTGTGATGTCCTCCATACGTTGGACTGTTAGTTCAGAGACCCAAGAGTAACGTTACTGTTATTTGTCATATTTAGTTCATCCTTATCTCATAATAACTACGATTGATTTCTACCGTACCTTAGGAATGGGGCAATCTCCTGTATCTACCCGATTATTACAACAAATTAGACGAGAAAGTTTTACAAAACCCCTTCACTTATATTAATTTATCCTTGATACACGCTTATAATAATTAAATCATCACCCGAGATATACTAGAGTTATACTGTATAAATCTCCAGGGAAATCACTCTCTGTATATCTCGTAATGTGTTGATGGATAACAAGAACCCAGCTGCACAGCAGTAACGTGGCCCAGGTTTTAATCCATGTCTGGTGTAGCACTTTTGCGTCATAGTACCGATTATAATCAATATTCAGATCATTTATCTGTATAATCGTTCTACACGGGTAGGCATGAATCTAGGTGCAAGCAGGTGCAAACTGCAAGGCTGTATTGTTAACTCTTTATAAGCTGTCCTTTATGAGGCCCTGCCTGCAATAATGATTATGTTTCAATATGCCACAGATAATAGAACCTGTACTATACGTTATATGACTCCTTTATATGACACACAGTGTTTAATGACACTCGATGCTTTGTAAACCATAAGCTCTTTTGTTTTCGTGCGGACGCTACAAAACATTAACACTGTTGAACCTGTAGCTTTTATAAATATCAAAGAATAATCAAACTGTGCCCAACTCAAAGTAATTTAGATTCATCCAGTGCATTATCGATCCTATGACTATTGTTTATTTGTCTAATATCATAATTTTCCCCGATCTAAAAGGGTTCTGTATGAGAAATTTAACATATTTTAAAATTTAGGTGTTCATGTAAAAAATTATTATGTCACCAAACTTCAGTGATTTTAACCACCAAATCTGAATTTACCAAATATAAGAGTAAAATACTTATATTGAAGGGTTATAACCTCCTGTCATCTGATGTGAGGAGTATCATGGTGACTCGTCATACTCCTGACACATAATCTTCTTTAATAACCTATCTGACTACTATAATGATGGCCCACCCTTACATCGTTATAGTAATAACTGGTGAAATATGAGGTGTATTATAATTGTACTTCAGATATTGTTCATAGTAACACTGAACAGCTATAACACGTGTAGTACAGCTGTGAAGGTACTTTCGTGTGCAAATTAAGGGGGAGTGGTGTTTTATTGGAAACTTATGTTCAAAAGTATCTTTGCAGTATAGATATCCCTCCAGTATAAATGTAAATCTAGTATTTTAAAATAGGGAATCTGATCTGCCAACATTAAATCTTTAAATACCAGAATAATCTAGAATGTTTCTGCAACGCTACCAAACAACCTTCTTCTTGAAATGATGAGACCCTCCGGAGTACACATGTTCCCTTTCAAAGCTTTATAGATATGAAATTTGGTATAGTGGATATGAGATTTGGTATAGTGGCTATGAGATTTGGTATAGTGGCTATGAGATTTGGTATAGTGGCTATGAGATTTGGTATAGTGGCTATGAGATTTGGTATAGTGGCTATGAGATTTGGGCGTATACTGGTATTATATACTGGTATTATATAATGCTGATATTAGTATTTAGTAACGTTGATGTGTCATTTTAGCACGTGTAATTACAAGGCTCTGGATCATTATATTCAAGGTTCATGTCTCATGATGATTCGTGTTGAGTTGAGTTACCAAGGCCTGGGTAAAATATAACAGACCCATACTACTGGTTAATATGGAATTTTAGCACAAAGCATAGACGGTAAGACGGTGGCCTGCATTTATTTGCTCTAAATTTGATCCCAAATTACCTCTTCCACGAATGAATGCCTTCATTGAGAAATGGATAGCACTTAAAACATATCCAACCCGCTGTTTGATTCCACCATATTATGTCTTGATGGCAAGCCTGGACATGTTACTAGAACACCTTGTATCTGATCTAATAGCACTATTGAAGTATTGATAGTACAGAGTTATAAATCCACTACTAGATTACTTTAAAGTGAGGGTATTTACCGGGTTTACTTAACCAGACTACATAATTCTACTAATTCTTGTTGCAAGACCAGTATTCTAAAATGTTACCTCAAAATGTCTAATTTCTATTTGGTCACATTATCACCGTCACATAGTTGGTCAGTATTGTGGTTGTTTATTGTGGTTGTTTATTGTGGTTGTTTATTGTGGTTGTTTATTGTGGTTGTTTATTGTGGTTGTTTATTGTGGTTGTTTATTGTGGTTGTTTATTGTGGTTGTTTATTGTGGTTGTTTATTGTGGTTGTTTATTGTGGTTGTTTATTGTGGTTGTTTATTGTGGTTGTTTATTGTGGTTGTTTATTGTGGTTGTTTATTGTGGTTGTTTATTGTGGTTGTTTATTGTGGTTGTTTATTGTGGTTGTTTATTGTGGTTGTTTATTGTGGTTGTTTATTGTGGTTGTTTATTGTGGTTGTTTATTGTGGTTGTTTATTGTGGTTGTTTATTGTGGTTGTTTATTGTGGTTGTTTATTGTGGTTGTTTATTGTGGTTGTTTATTGTGGTTGTTTATTGTGGTTGTTTATTGTGGTTGTTTATTGTGGTTGTTTATTGTGGTTGTTTATTGTGGTTGTTTATTGTAATTGTTTATTGTGGTTGTTTATTACTCACTGAGTCTATATTACAGAACTGGAGAGGGTCCAGCAAGGAACAATGATCCACATGATGCTTATCATACTGAGAACAGTGTTACAAAGATATGTGTCAATATCCCATCACATTATCACGTTACACAAATGACAAGCATTATCTTACACAAATATCTTCGTTCTCACAATTCCGAGGTTAATGGTTCAATCATCTTCTCGGCTGTGGTAGTCCAATCGTAATATCTATAAATAGATCTCAAGTATCAAGCACCCTAGATTTAAGGCTTTTAGTCTGAGTGGTGTGGATTGTAGGTCCTACCTTTTGTGTTATTTATACCAGATATAATGGGGGACATACATCTTATAAACTTGAAAAAAACCGTAAATTTTATAACCTGAAAATAACACTCTCATAAACATGAATCTTATAAAGCTTATAAAGGGTGATGTCTCACAAGCTTGATATGATTGTTGGTGGTTTCATGAAAGGAAAATATCACATGGTCCGTCTTGATTTGAAGTTAATTGGGCTTGATCCACAATGTTTTGTTGAAACATGTGTTGTTGTACGTGTGCCGTGCATGAACCCTCTATTGTTGTAATATTGTATTGTGAATTGTAGCAACTCTCTCTCTTGTAGTCTTGTTGTCTTGTTGTAACAACTGTAACAGTAACTGTGTTTAACTGACCTGTATTTGATATAATTGTACTGTTAGATACTGTCTGATGTAACATGCTAATTGGCAGTTTCCTTTCAAACCTTGAATCAATTAAACCAGCTCCTTTATAAACTCTTTTGTAAACACAGCTCCTTTTGTACATCAAACAATAACTCATTCACTGTGGTCCAAACACTAGCTAACTCTCTAAATCAAGGCTTCTTGTGCCAAATAAACGGTCTGGTTGGAGTGTGGTGTCAGGGTAGTATAGTTTGGTTAGTGGCCAGGTTACAGTATCTCTGTATCTTGATGAAAAGAGGAATACAGTTGTCAGTAAATTTGACTACAAGTTTTAGAGAAACTCTGAAAGATTATCGCCTCACCCGACCATTTAGCCAAGTCTATTTGTTCTGACTACCAGAAGAGAAAACACTCCGCAGTAGAGAGGGAACACTTAATACCGTTAATGATACGTCATGGTTAGTCTGGTGCGATGATCAGATGGGCAGGGGACAGGTCCTTGTCTTGTACAGACATTCAATGGGGTGTAAAGTAGGGTGACGAAATCAGTTATCTTAACTTAAGTATCGATCTGTGTAAACGTCATGAAAGATATGGGAAGTGAGTATTGAGTAAGAAATCTAAGTAAATTCAGTATCACTCCGTTGTTTATTAAAAGTATGAATAACTTGATCGTGACGTAGAATTACTTGACATTCCTGGTTATTTGTTCGAATATCGGGAATTTCTACTAAAATACGGTTTTACTCGATACTGTTTACCTAATTGCCAGGTGTTACTGCTGATTTTGTATGTAGTGTGTACGCGCGTTCTTATTTTAAGGAATTCGAATGATGATTTTCATCGGATTTGTTTCTGTTGAAAGTTACATATCAGATTGTAGCATTCCATTAGTACCTTGATGTTCTTAGTAAATTTCATTCCATCACGCGCCTTGCATTTTACAATTCAGCTACTCAGATAATGAGATTGCTGATCAAGTAATTGAAAAACACGTATTCGCTAATGAAGCAGTTCGTGACTGCAAGTGTGTCTTTATGCTGTACTGTTTTTCTTTAAGTTGTGATTTTGATTGAACGAGTCATGTTTGTAAACGTTTCCCTTATCTTGTGTTATCAGATGTATTATGAGAGGTTACACCTATTTTTGCATATTTAAGAGTCGATCATTCCGCACATTCCATCTTTACTCCTCAAAAGATAATGTTTATTTAAGAGACCCTCCTCCTCAAATTGTAACGGTAATGTACATGCCAACTTTATCTCAACTTCATTACTTAATTATCTCATTACCAGCCAATTAGGTCGATTAGTGCTCGTGTGTGGGATTCATCGGACCGTGATGTTTATTCTCTGTCCTTGTACAATATCAATCATTACACCCTTTTAACTACATGTTGAGCTTAATAAGTTACTGCGCCTACATTGTGTGTATTGTATAGTGAGCCTTGATAATAACAATAGCAGATAACAATGCCTGACCCTCAATCAATGAGGCATGGGAAATCATCCAGGTTATTCTAATTAGCAACCCGTAACTCGTTATCACTAAATTATCTATGACGTGAAAATCGAGTAAGAATTGTGTGTTATATTATATTAACAAAGTATCAAATGTAAAACGTGTCTCATTTTACAGTGGTACAATGTTTAACACACTCGGAAGATCACGGAACAGAAAAGATGATGACGTACAACGTACTGCAACGCTAGGTCGCTATGACAACGCGCCCCGTTATCATGACGAACGTGCACCACCGCCCCCGCCGCAGCGCCAACCTCGACACTTTGAGGACGATCCAAGAAACCGTGAGACTGCCTTCCCGCCCAGAGATGTTTATTTCGATAAAGTGACCAGGTGAGTCTACATGAGAAGTAGCACTTTCAGCCAAATTTAGAGATTCTGTGTTTGTGTCCGTTTATAGCACAGGCATCGCACAAAAAGTTTTAATTTTCTGGAATTCAAATGCTATCAGAGATAAGCAGAATATGGCAGGCAAATTACATCTTATTCAGTTACAAATTACATTTAATGTGAGCACCTGATTTACAAAATAACACCCCGTAATATTAGTGACGATATGCGTTTAAAAGGGTTGTTTTGCCACAGATCGCGGGACGATGTGTACGATTCCCATTCCCATTCCTCCCAGTCCAGTAAAGGATCCCGGAGATACGCAACTCTGCAACCCAGCCAAGTTCAGGATTACAGGAGATATTCTGAACAGGAGGAAAACAAGGTTAGTTAAATAGTTTGTTAGATTGTTTGCTAGTTTTTTAGTTATTTTATTTATCAGTTTGTTTTTGGTTCGATTTTGTCTCATCCTATCTTCCTACTGAATTTGAAAAGAGGTGCTCTTCGTCAGTTCTAGATCTTGAGAAGAGGGAAGGATCTTGAGAAGGGAGAAGGATTTCCGTCATCCGCCAAATTACAGGCTATGATGTGGATCTTAACAAATGAGTTGAAGGTGCAAACATAACTGCACAAATATATTTTGGAGTATAGAAGTTAGAACTTATCACTGAGTCTTTGTGGGTGCATCGCTTGGTTTGCGGAGTTAATCGATCATGCAAAAAATGAACAATGTTTGTCTAAAAGGAAGGGACCTGGATTCTCTGAAAGAACAATATGAAGGGTCAAGATTGGCTGTTTGAGGAGAAGCCGCCAAGCAATGACCTGAATCTGGTGATTTGGCTGGTAACGCGTGAAGGCTGCTTATAACTCTGCTGCAGTAAGAGGGAGCTTTTAGAACACCACATTAATTCTCAGCTATGTTGGAATTTGTTTATTCTTCGCAAATGCGAGAAATGGTCATCAGGTCAGACGACTCTTTTGTATTCCTTGTTTTTAAGCTTTTGTGACGAAATTGCTGTCACAAAATGAAATATGTCAGTGATTATATTTTATCACTTATTATCATTTCATTTACCTTCGCATCAGCTAGTCGTAAACATAAGACACACAAAAAACGAACATTTTATGGGTATTTAAAGGTAATTCAGTTTCAAAATGTCGACCAGTTATTCAACCGATGAGCACACATCCGGCCTCCGGGTTTTAAAAATACGGATCCACCACTAAAATGCTAGCGGCAGAATACTCTCTGATTCTGGGGTTACTATATATCCGGAACAGATTACAGAAATACTTCTCTGAATTATAATGGAGATACAATATTTAAATATTATGTTAAGACTACCCTCGACGTTTGTGTCATCTAGTACCCAAACGTCAATATTCAACATCATCATTGCATTAAAACCGTTTAGTGAACAGATGTTATTTTAAAATATATCAGTGATCAGTCACTGCATAAAGCTTGTAAGTAAAGATTAGTTTTATTTGAATCAGTTTACTTCTTAGTATCCAAGAAAGATTAGACGTAAAGCGCGGTAATAAATTTACAGCGAAAGCGCCCTCTTCATTACCACCTGAGCATGGTCGCTCGCGCGCGCGCGGAAGTTGGTGCGTTAAATTAATCTGGAAGATCGATCAGAGCTGAAAGCACTGGATTCAGGATTGGGGATCGGACTTCAAAATAGTGATGAGTGAACCATCGAGCACCGGACCAGGAAATCACGGACCAATTAATAACTGTTACACATACATTTAGGATTTTCATGCTTGGCAACAATACAATATCACTGAGGTTAAATTTTCGGACCAACTTATTTCCGGCAATTTTCGATTGTGCCGGTATTAATTTTGTCCGTGGTTCGAAGTTTCACTGTACACAATACTGAGTAAAGGATACTATCATCATATCAGATACCAGTCCTGTTCTGTATAAAAACAATCAAGGATTGTCTTGACAGTCCACATTTCTTTAATTTTTGGTCTGCCTGTTGCTAATATGTGATTATCATAACAGCTTAACAGTTAAGATATTCTAATGTGTGCACAGTTAACACAGTTAGCACTATACGGCAAATTGCTCATAATTATCAGCTATAATTATAACTTTATTTATTTCCGTTTAGCAAAGTTCTCTTATTGTTATTGATATTTCTTACACTTTTGTACTGGGTTGGTCGTTGGTGGCCTAATTGAGGCTACATAAACGGAGTACTGAAAAAAAAACCTACGAAGTCTTTGAACTGAAGACTTTGCAAGTTTGGAAACTTCCATCCGGCATCCTGGTATTTTCCATCCGGCATCCCGGTATATTCCATCCGGCATCCTGGTATTTTCCATCTTGTCTGCTCACCATCATGTAACACGACATAATATTATTATAGTCATGATACGATCAGTCTAGAAAAATATAGGCAGCCTATTACTAGCTTGGCGATTGTCAGGCTATTAATTAATAGTCTAGAAAAGGAAAAATTAGTGACTAGATATGTAGTTTGTACTGCAATTGTAACAATTAGGTACCACTGTAGCAGCATTACCGACTGTGTAACTGTATTTGTGATCACACTGTGTTCTTTTATTCACTGGCTGTCTCACAATCAAGTCCTCACAAAGCTATGGACGAGATCCCAGATTGTCCAGAGTACAAGAGCTCACAGTGATTGAACTTAATGGCGGTATCCGTTGTGTTCTGGTGGCCAGACAATTACTCAGATTGGAGGATTGGGTAACATTTGTCCTTTACCAAAGTACTCCTACTCTTGAATGAAACGAGTGCTCTCCTTCTAAAGCCAGGGAACTCTGGTACATACACGGTGTCTCCATTTACACGATCATCCCCAACGGCACGTGTACTACACATATTTGCATTATTCAGGAGGACACTAAACCGCCCTGGAGATTACGAGGCATATTTGTCTTTAGGTTGTTATCTGGTTGTTATATGGTCGTTAGCGTGTTGTTAGCGTGTTGTTAGCGTGTTGTTAGCGTGTTGTTAGCGTGTTGTTAGTTGGTTGTTAGTTTCTAATATCCCCGATGAGAGGTTAGTCTGCTGTGAGCATGTCAGCTCTCTGTTTCATCATGTTAGTTATGGTTCGTTCAGAGTTGTCAGCATGTAGATCACTAAAAATGATAATCTCTCTGAGTCTACCGTTTTTTATTGTTTAGTTGTGTTGCTCCGCCGTCTTCATATTATGTCCAACCCTTTAATTAAGACACTGTAGTAACGTGTGATGAAGGAATGAATGAGATTGGTATGGAATATCCAGTGTAGCCAAATATCCCAGATGAAATTGAGACTTCGTTGGTGTTCAGGGTTTAGTGAAAAGGTAGGATATATTCTTGTTGAATGTTGGTACTTGTAGAACAGACCTGGCTTCTTTCCAAATAAAGGATAATGTCAGATTTATTGAGTTACTTTTTGAAATAGCTGCACTGTTCTCAATTGTATCGTTTATTGAATTGTAAAATTGGTTTCATCTCTTCTGGCGCTTAAAGCAATGTACACCGCTACACAGTCGGTTGTCTTATTGAACATTCGTTTTGTGAATTTGATTTGATTTGACTTCATATCTGCTAATAATGTTACATGAGGCAGGTAACCGAAATCGGTAACTTGAAATTTGAGTTTTTGTGAAGATCGTCTGTCTGCGGTCCGTCCAGCCTTTCTCTTTTTTCATCAACAAGATTAGGCTAAATTTGAGTGAGAGAATCTCTGGAAATGCAGTTATCATTACTCTCTGAAAACATGCAACATGTTCTCCGTGGCGCTGTTTTTATTACTTTAGGAGCGAAAATATAATTAGTGAATATTTGAATGCGATTAGTTGTTATTTGAAACTGGTTAGGATAGAAACTACTGATCACACAATACACATTTATCGCTCCCCACACATAACCACTGTAACTCTTCAGCTCGCCGCTACTCGTATGCTTTGTTCCCCACCTCGTCTTCTTTCTTCACAAGTTAAACGTGCAATTTAAATATTTTTAGCAGCGTTTTCATTTTAAGTAATTATTATCACAGGCTTCACAGTTCACATAAGTAAGTATAGTTGGTTTAACGAATAAAGAACTGTTATGTCTTGATCTAAATGCTCCCCACCGCGTGTGATAATGTTAGATAACTTGCCCGGTGTCCGCCCGCTTTGATAGGCCGAACTGTTCGTGTAGGATTAGGCATTTATAAATATCTCCGGGATTTCGACGCGGGATCATATTATCACTCAGCCCGGCCCGCTGTTAGATAAACATCTCAAAGTGATATCATCCCGCCCCGGAAATTTGTATAAACCCGGCCCGCTTTTTAGTCGTAACTGATGTTTATCATTCAATTCTCCGACTTACAATAATCAATGATACTGCTGATTAGAACTCGATAATAGTAGAACAGTTAGACGCGCGATCACGTGGGCGCGTCACGTGCGTACCACGTGCCACCAATAGCATACGCTGAGTCTATACCACGTGACACGAAAGCGCACCACGTGATATGAAACATCGTAACCGTCCACTTCTTTTACACGCAAATTCCTGGGAACGTTGCCAAAGCAGCTAATTCTTGGAATTTCTCCAACGCGTGGCGTGAGAAGTTGGCGACTAGCCAGCTACCCTTGTCCGTGCCCTAAAATAGTATTGTTTTGCTTGCTCTCCTTCCAGCTCTTGTTCCTGCTAACGTTCAAGCTATTGCTCCACTTACACTATGACAGATCGGTTTGACATTCAGATTCTAATGTATTTCTAAAGTATAAATCCCTTGTCGAAATCGCCGGAGATAATTATAATCCATAAACACTTCACGCTCAGGGCTAAATAAATGTAATCCCTCAGCTGGCGCTTCGGGATTACATATTAACACAAAACTCGTGCGCTGCGCGCACTCGTATGTGTTTATCAGATCATCCCGCTAGCGCGGGATGATCTGTTATATAAACCCTTTGCGTGGCGGGTTTATGTTATTATATAATTTAGCTGAGATCTGTATTTGTGAGCCGAGACACCTACCTTAATCAAGTCTACTTAGCTGGAAAATGATACCGTGGTATGATCCCGCTTGAAACATCTTGAAATGCTAAATTTTCACTCGAACGGAGTGAACATTCTGCTCTGATTATCATTGAAAGCTCCTTTCTGTAAATTTAGTGTATAATCAAGGGAATCAAAATTTCTTATTAAGTTAAGAATTCTCTCCCAGTAACAAACCCCGGCCACTTTCCCTAATTCTTATTTCAAACGATTTCAAAGCTTATTTCTAGTTGCTAGGCTCTGAAACCCAGCTGATCGACGTCTCATCACGTTTGGTGGGGATGCCCTCTGACTGTTATTTGAGACAGGAGTTTGAGATAACTTCGAATTGTTATATTCATGGCCATGGTAAATTTCATTATCGTAGGCCGAAAGTTTTTTTTTCTTCTTCATGATACGGCTTTGGTTTACACCTTTTGCGTGATCTTGAATTAGTGTTGATATCCCGGGGAAGAAAGCATGTAATCTTGTTTTACACTCAAGTAATTACATTACGTTTCTAAATTCCTGTATCTTAAGAAATGAGCAATGATCTGAGACAAGTGTGGGAGAGCAAAGAGAGCTCCACTCTTTACCACGACATTATACGACATGATACTATTCTTATAGTTATACTGAAAGTGCTTTTCTCATTTTACTTCTACGTTTCTTTTTACTATAAAACTAGATGTGCTCCCGCACGTTTTTTTCTGTCACTGCCTAATTATTTCATCGTTTATCATTTAACCTCCTCCTAATTCATCGTCACGGTCTTGCGACTTACATTAATTATATGTATTTTACTCACAATCTTATAATATTTTGTTTATTTCTCGGTTTCTGAACGTTTTTTCTTCGAATAGCGGTTTAACTAGTTTCAAAACTTTTGGTGATCGAACCGGTTACTAGAATAGATCAGCTAAAGCACTTTGTCTCCAAATAATATTACTTACATTTAATCACTGCGGCCGTTAAATTATTATATCATTAGCGGTGTACTAAAGTTACTCCATTTGAAACATTAGTATGCCCCATTTTGATAAGCTAGAGTATAAATAAGGAACTATCTTGAAAATAGCTATTTATTGAGCCCGGTGTAGTACTAGTGCTTTCTGACGTAAGTTCCACCGCAGCTGGAATGCTAGCAGTTTGCTAAACTAAACTTTTATATGTACAATTTTCTATCACTAAGGTACTTAGTAGCTGCTTTCCCATTCATATTCTCTGCCAATGAAAACTTTCACCTTTGCTTTGTCTGCACGTGCAAAAACACGCGCCAAAACAAATTAACACGTGCCGAATACTGCACGCTCACTGGTCAATCCAGACACCACGTGCAATACTCGAACATTCATAGGTTTATATCAATCATCTGATTAGTTGAATCTCAGTGACTGCTGTTTAATCGAGATATTATTTGCGATAACAATTGACTAGACAGTCATGTGAAGATTAAGAACAAGTTATTACTTTTCATAAGAACGCACGTGCATCGTGTTGCCATGACAACCGTGCGCGTGCACACCGTTACCATGGTAACGACGCCCAATAGCTCGTCATTACTTAGTCCCCTGTACGTCAACCTATTAATTATTTTGGTGAGCAGGCTGGCTCTCTCGTGTAGTGCGCTCCACAACATTATTATATTTTCTGTTCTCTAGCGTGTGTGTTGTCAATCTGTTAATCGATAGCGAGGACCTGACAACTTACTGATCTGTGAATCTGCGTTACATCGGTGAGTGACAGAATGCGGTTTATAGTCCGTTTACGGCATGATGGTAGTTGGTGATAGCATGCGTATGAAATAATGGAATTTTTTACCAAACGTAGTTTTTCTATTTGTGTTATTTTTGGCTCGTTGATAACTGGTCCACCTCGTATCAAGTGTGTTGAACTGAAATTGTTAATTATTGCGTCATTATATCTAGACTCGTGGACATTCCTCATATTTCAAAAATAAACTTAAATTAAGTCAAGTTTATCAGCAACGCTATTAAAGTTGGTGAATGGTTCAACACTGGTAGTGGTATAAAACTACAATGAAACCCACTTTAACGACTTCTAAGGTGTTAAATTATGTTTAAGTGTTTACATCAAGACGTACACTGTCAAATGGCTATTAAAGTAACCTGTCACATTAAATTACTGTAGTCAGGCACGATAAGCCTGTAATTCTCATCCCTGAGTAACAACCCGTGTATATCCTGTGAACAAGCACCTGATCAACCCATATCTTGACATCCAACCCGATAAGGGGTTATTAATTTCTAAAAACGAGTGTGCTGATGTTATTATCGGTTTAAACTCTCTGACACATTCGTTTTATTTCCGTACCAGGGCCGATACCAGCCACTTGGTTTTGTTAACCCCTCCCCACTCCTGGTTACACCCCTCCTTGTTTGATAGTTGTGTGAGATGTTTGTGTGTGATAGTAAGAGGATGAAAAGTGTAAGGTTCAATCTGGGAAACAAAGTCGTAGGCACTGGAGTCCGAAACTCAGGGATCATGAGATCAAAATCCTTCGATAGCCTGCTCGGGAAAAAGGTAATCTGCTGTGCGTTGGCCAACTACTCAACACAGCCAATGCCATTTTACTTGATGATCATTTTATTACTTTATTACTTTATTCTCACGGCGCGGTAGCGCCAAGTTTTTTATCCTGCCTAGTTCCTGCCTTGTGCTGAGCAAAACAATAAAAAGTGGTTAGTCTTGCAATTCTTTTTAATAAATACCACTTGTGATAGTGAACGAATGATCAAAATGTGGAGAAACGGCGTTCATTCACGTTGAATCTGTTCTGAAAACATGTAACTTATTTTCAGCGCTTTTAACTCAGTCTCTGTTACTGTTCCTCATCAAATAAGCTCTCTAGTTTCTAGAGGGCTTTCTAAATCACACACGAGACTGACAGTAGAACATCACGAAAACGTACGACTCACAAAGAGTCGTGTACCTGCCAGTGAACAATAGTAGCCTCTAAAATCTGGTGTAGTCACCAGTCCTAAATTATTGTAAATTTCTTAATCATTGTAATTGTAACTCTCTCTGTCTAATGTATTTGTTTCACGACTCCTGTTTTCTTGACATTGTTTCTTGATCCAGTTTTAAGTTACGCGAACTTGTTTCACACGACATTACCCTGCAAACGTTACCAAACCTCATAAAGGGTTCAATAAATGGAACCTAATTCTCTCATAATCACAATAAGGCACAATGTCAGTGGTCGTTTAATTTGACATATAGTAGCCCTGTAATGTTACAGTATAATGGCTAGTTCGGCACCGCTGGTATTACACTGACTTGCGAACTTTAATTCAGATACCGTGTAAATCCTCACCCTAGCTGCTGGTATCTAGCTGGTCTATTATATTATGTGCACACAGTTTCTACGCTCTCAAATACCCCTTTTCTCCCTGGACCTGGTCCAGAATGTAATCCAAGTCGAGGTATCGCAACACCTGTCTGGCAAATCACGCGAATTTAATAAAGCTACAGATATCAGTACAATACAACTATCTGTGCTGGAACCTGCGTACCTGTTCAGTGTTCACATGTTTCGTTGCTTTGAGTGCCTACCCCTCGTGTACAATGTACAGTGTGAGAGAGATCGTGTATAATTGTACCCAAATTACGTGATAAGATTGATTTGAATATTCAATAGGGTCAATAGGTGCAGGGTGAGTGTGACCAGCCACAAGGTGTTGTTTGGTGTTGTGAGCGTGTGGCAGGTGGTGGCACATTGCACAATCTTGTGGCGCTTCTATGTCATGCTTATATCGCACCAAATCAATTGATCGATTAAACATTAGTAAGATGAATGGCTCGCTGATTTCCATCCTTTGAAGTTTTGGTTTCGACACTGAATCTTGTCTTACATTTGCTTACAGTTTGTAACGAAAGAGATTTTATTATTTTCATAAAATCTCCCTCAGTTGGGTACTCTAATTCTAAAGTACAAAATAAAAAATACAATTCTGAACAAAATAGAACTAAGCCAGATGAATTCTTGATTTTAAAGATGGGATAGACTAACTTATTCCAGGAAAATTTAACTATGGTATGTTAATGTAAAATTGTAATAATGTTATGTTAACAATTTCTTCTACTATCTCAAGTTACTAGAAGAAAGAAATAGTTAACATTCAACATATTCTATGCGGCTGATAAACAATCGCCCAATCATTGGTAACTTAGTCACTGTTAAGCACGCTTAGTCACCCCTAACAACGTGATCTAAGACATAGCGAATTATTGTCCTATAATATCCTCCCAAGTTCTGATGTTGTTCTAATTGATAATGTCTAGTGTTACACGACCGTGACTCTCTATCTAGCTCCCTCATCATGTCTAACAAGTCCTCCGGATCTGAGCTCCTGTTTTTATTAGAGTCCCTCCCTGCTCGACAGCTCCCTCAGCGGCCCTCCTCCTCCCGCAACCAACAACGTCGTGCTTCAGGGGAGATACACCAGACGGCACGACGTCAGCTCAGTAACCCCGCCTCCTTGGCCTCCAAGTCTCTGGTCTCTGGTCTCTCTTCTAGATCACGTCTCCGGAGCTGTCCTGATGTTAAACAGGTCTCTGCTGCGTGCACGCTCAGCTTCACAACAGCTTGCGTGCAACTTTCGTGCACTATGCACTTAGCTTCATTGATGTTGCGTGTGCTGCCCTGCATTGCGACATATAGTTTAAGTTTATGCGTGTAAAACTCATTTCCCGTTATCTTTTTCATCTCATTATTGCCTTTTATATTATGCCGCTATTACTCATAAAGAAGTAATTAATCACATAAAAACTGTGCTGTAGAGTAAATATGATCCGTTAGAAATGTAACGGTATCGGCTATTTTTATTGCTCCGCGCTAAAGCAGGGCCAAAAGTAAAACGATTTTCTAGAATGTCGTCCTCAGATGCTTACTAGCTGATTATTTCATTGCTAAAATATCACAGCAATTTTTATGCGAGAACTTGACAGAACTTTCTTATCTCCTGTGCGTATCACGAGTGTAAAATGTTACAGGCTACTGTGCTAAATATACTGACAAGAAGGTGCATTACCCCCCCCCCCCCCCCCACTAAGAGTCTCAGTAAATATGGGCCCGACTCTACACCTTTATAACTTAGAAAGATGGAAGTTTTTCGTTCTCAACCCTACCCCAAATGTAATGAAAGTTATTTTCAGATACAGAGAAACACAGTGAGAGAAGCTAAGATGAACGGTAGCAGTAAGGTAAGAGTACATTCTTAGTTATTGGTTTTTAATTACTGTCACCATAACACCGTCACCATGACACCGTCACCATAACAACTTCGTCCGTCACCATTGAACTGTCACTATTAAGGCCCCTTCCAGCCATTGCCACCTGCCACCTAATTTGGCAGGTTTTACATTAAGACTGATAATCAATTTGAAGTCTTAAAATGATTCCTGCAAAATTAACCGAAAACCTGCCTATTTATCGTATTCGTGCAGAGATTTATCTCACGTAATTATTTAATCGAGTTGTTGATTTATAGAAAAGCCTGCAAAATTAACACAAAACCTGCCTCACCTTTCACCTACTCTCGGCAGGTTTGCTCCATTTTGGCAGGTTTTCCGTTAAATATAAAGTCGAATGCTGCAGATTTAACGCAAATCCTGCGTAAGTTGAGATAATTTGAATCAACTTGTGGCGTGATTAAACCTATATTGGCAGGGGTTTTGGATAATTTGAGTGTACAATGTGGAATACTGTAATGATCGTATAACCTTATTACTAGGTAGGGTGTAGGACTGAGACTTGGTTTGTGCAAAGCTACAGAAGTACAGAATGCTACATGCCTACATGGCTCTATAGTTTATACTTTTATACATGCAGTCACTAGTCAGTGGCGAAACGACCGCCCGACACTCCGGCAACCCCTGCTATGCGGAAGGGGATGGGGGGGGTGCAGCTGCGGCCTCTTAGGTACGTTTCGCCACTGCATATTATCCACTGTTACCAACACGGGGTCTATGATAAGTTTGAGTATAAAAGTACAAACCGATTATTGGAAAATAACTGTTTGCTTAACTTCAGTTCTTAGGTTGCCATTTTTAGATTAGATTGCTATGTTCTTAAGTAGTGAGGACAGCACTTTTTCAGTTGCAGTGCCTCTACCTGTTCATTGTTCACATTGTAAGATTTAGTGAATGAAGTGATTCTGAAAGAATCTTCAATTACAATTAATATAATAGTTCTAAATATGCAGTTATTTTCAGATTATGAGATATTTGATCGGAAATTTGTCACACGTTAAAGTGACACTTAATAAGTTGGACCTTAATCGAAATTCGTATTCACGAATTGGAAATAGCTCGTACTATAATTTATAGGTTGACCTCCCACATATGCTCTAAGTGGGAGGTCAACCTATAACTCAAATTATTGCTATTTACCAATATTAATTGATCACTGATGTTATGTGGCACTTTCAGCGGAAAATTAGTAATAGAAAGCGGACAAACCAGTTTTGGTGAAGGATGTTTATCTTATACTCTTATAGTAGTTGTACACTGTACAGCAATGCTAAGGTAATGAGGTAATGCTGTAATGGGACTACTGCGGACCCTCTACCGGCCAAACATATTATCTCATTATTGAAGGGTGTAGACTGTAATATAGATGTAAGAACTTGCTAAATTGGGAGGTGACTGTTTTAAAATGATCAGATGCTTGCTTACTAACTTATTAAGAATGAGAGGTGATAGTGATTTACTTTATCTTGACAGGACAGTTAAGTATTTAAGCTTAAGAAACCACGTGGAGCTAAACGGTGCAAGTGATATAATACTTGAAAATTGACCCCCCCCCCCCCCCCCCCCCGACAATTGACCAAACAAATATATTTATTATACTAACCCTAACAGTAACCCGATTGGGCGACATCTGTCCGACAGCGACATCTGTCCGACAGCCGAATTGGGGATTTCGGACAGATTTCGCTGTCGGACAGGAGTCGTTTTTGGCGACATCTGTCCGAATTTCGGATCATATTGTAATTTCGGTTCACATTCGTATTTCACAAACTCACGGGTAATTTCGTGACGTTGCTCCCATTGTTCGAATGCTGATTTGATCCATTGAGATCTGATCCATCGATACGTGACAGGATTGTGCTAGCCGTACACTAACAAGCTGTCGATCACATCACAGGACACAGCCTACATGAGTACATTTAGGATAGCAGCCGTATGGAGATCAGTTATCGCAATCCACAATGGCAACCAATCTTCAGTAAACAGACCCAGATCTGCAGCAAACAGACCCGAGAGATCTGGAAACGCTATCCATTCCTGCAAACTAAATCCTCTCTACCGACAACAGTCCAATGATGCTCTGGGACTCTGGATGGGACGAACAGACTCGTCGATCATTCCTTTGGGGGACTCGTAAGAACGCAGATCATATGGTGGACGCGGAGCATTGCGTAGTCAACGCCCAACGGTACCTTCAAATCCGCACCTAATCTCTTCCATCAGCTCTTCACAGTCCACGGACTCTTCCCTGACGGCTGGCACCTCCCCCTCTTCTAAGGACTCATTCCTGGAAAATCGACGACCCTCTACCGCAACATGTTCGAGGAGATAGACACCTGGGCTTCTGAGACCTTGGGGCTACCAACCACAATACATTCTCATGGACTACGAGCTCGCCATTCACAACGCAGTTGCTTCATGCCTGCCTGCCTATATAGGTCGAAAATAAACTAGTAGTACACTATGGCTCAGATCATATCTCAAATTGGCAATGTTACGTATTCAAATTAACAGTTCAGATCACGTCTCTAATTGGAAATGTGTTGTATTGAAATCAGATCACAATTTCGGACAAATGTCGTTTTTTCTGGTACCCTGAGTCGGACAGATGTCGCTGTCGGACAGATGTCGCTGACAGGAGTCGTGTTACCCAGTAACCCTAACCCTGACCCTAACCCTGACCCTAACCCTGACCCTGACCCTGACCCTAACCCTAACCCTAACCCTAACCCTGGGCCTGACCCTGACCCTAACCCTGACCCTAACCCTGACCCTAACCCTGACCCTAACCCTGACCCTAACCCTGAATTGACCCCAGTGTAATTACACGGGGGGTCAATTGTCGGGGGTAGATTGCATCAGGGGTTCATTTGTCGGAGGGGGGGGGGGGGGGGGGGGGGGGGAGGGGGTCAATTGTTGCGGTACCGTACTATATATTATATAAGTATATAGCGTACTATACCTCTCATTTGGAGATTCAGTGCCATGGTTGTCAGCTTTTTATCAACTCCGGCCAATTTCTTGACTGCGCTAATCAACTCGGTTTTATTGACTTTTAGTTTTGGTGCCAAATAAGCAAAATTCCAAATAACTTAAGAACTTAAAAGAAAGATAAAAGAAACCTGCCAATTTATAAATTTAACGCTGCCATAATAAGATTATAGCATTATAATCTATTTGGCATGGATTGATAATTTTATAACAAATCCTGCAAAGTTAATGGAAAACCTGCCGATTTAACTTTATCACTGCCGTAATCTATCCGGCAAGGATTGATAATTTTATAAAAAATCCTGCCAAGTTAATGGAAAACCTGCCGATTTAACTTTATCACTGCCGTAATCCATCCGGAAAGGATTGATAATTTTATAGCAAATCCTGCCAAGTTAATAGAAAACCTGCCAAATAACAAATACCTGCGCTGTTGATGCAGGATCACTAGTTAATTAGGCAGGTTTTGACATAAAAAATTAAGAGAAAACCTGCGGATTTAGTGTAATATACTGCTGATCTGGACAGGGTAAATTAGATTACTAGGCAGGAGTGGTAATTTCGCAGTCTTCGCTATTAACTGGGCAGGTTTTAGGTTAAATTCGCAGTGGCAATGGCTGGAAGGGGCCTCTATTATACTAACCACAGCTGTCATTCTAAAATAATCCATTGCTTTTTCGAGACTACAAAGTACAGTTGCGAGGATTCAATATGAGAGATACTTGGCAGATATGACTAATGAGTAATGATTATTTGTACATAATCTAAATAACATGTACATTTTATTGCTAACCATCGAAAGGAGTGTTCGGCTGTTTAGTAATCTAAATCAGTAAGGGGCACAGCCTTATTTAGGGGTCTCTGCGTCTCAGTTGGGATATCTGCTACATTCAGGTGAGAGCTGAGCTCATGTAGCTGAGCTCATGTAGCTGAGCTCATGTAGCTGAGCTCATGTAGCTGAGCTCATGTAGCGCACTGTAGCGCACTGTAGCGCACTGAAGTGCTGGGTAGCGCACTGCAGTGCGACCGTGTCGATCGTTTAGCACTATGGTACGTGCCGCACTACAGTATGTAAATCTGAACCACAAGGAACGATCAAACATACTGGGTTCGTGTTTGTAAACATCTCTCAGTCCATGTGGTTTTGGGTCATTTCACGGACTTCGAACCATGAATCGAGCGTTGTGATTAGATAGTTATTTCTACACGTGCTCAAAATCTGGGTTCATGATTGGCCGCTTACTTTCAACAGAAGTATAATACTAGAACTATAATGAATGATGTTGCCAATACTGGTATCATCTTGCTGCTGATAACCGCTTTTGTTTTGACACGTGATCAGGATCTCTGTATTTGATTGGCAGTACCTCGGATCTACTGAACTCCACACTAGGATTGTTTATGAAGAACTGTCACGTGATCAAAACTAAAAATATCTGTTATGTGCGCCAATTATATGGGAGGTTTTTTATATCACGTTATAGTGTGGCACGATCAGATGAGGTTAATATTGTTAATCTCCTCAGCCGCTAAATTAGCTCCCTCGTGCCAGTAGTCTCTAGTACCATCTAACACACTGTCTCAAACAATACCTTTCTAACTGTGATATTTTGTTACGCTGTGTAGTCTGCTCTCGTGTTTTGCGTCATGGACTGGTTGTACATACGTGTTCTGAGGATTTGGAGAAACATGGCTGGAGGACGTGAAGGTGGAGGACGTGAAGGTGGAGGACGTGAAGGTAGAGGACGTGAAGGTGGAGGACGTGAAGGTGGAGGACGTGAAGGTAGAGGACGTGAAGGTGGAGGACGTGAAGGTGGAGGACGTGAAGGTGGAGGACGTGAAGGTGGAGGACGTGAAGGTGGAGGACGTGAAGGTGGAGGACGTGAAGGTAGAGGACGTGAAGGTAGAGGACGTGAAGGTGGAGGACGTGAAGGTAGAGGACGTGAAGGTAGAGGACGTGA